CCTGGAGTATTGGGGGCAGTTCTGGGCTCCCCAGTACAAGAGGGACGTGGAGCTTCTAGAGAGGGTCCAGCGGAGAGCAACAAAGATGATTAAGGGACTGGAGCATCTATCTTATGAGGAAAGACTAAAAGTGAGCTGGGCCTGTTTTGCCTGGAAAAGAGAAGATTGAGAGGAGATCGGATCAACACGTACAAGTAGCTTAGGGGTGAATGTAGAGAGGATGGGGCCAAACTTTCCTCCATGGTGGCCAGTGACAGGTCAAGGGGTAATGGGTGCAGGCTGAAACACAGAAAGTTCCACCTCCCTGTGAGGAAGAACTTCTTTCCTGTGAAGCCCCGGAACAGGCTGCCCAGAGAGGCTGTGGAGTCTCCTTCTCTGGAGATCTTCAAAACCTGCCTGGATGCCACCCTGTGCCACGTGCTCTGGGTGTCTCTTCTGGAGCGGGGCGTTGGACTAGATGACCTCTAGAGGCCCCTTCCAACCTCAACCAGTCTGTGATTCTGTGAAGGTTAGACTATGTGGAAAGGATGCTTCTCCTTGCTGAATTTCCATATGGCAGACATAGGAGGTAATAAAAGCTTGAGCTGTTACTTAAATTCTGGTAGCATTTTTATGCAGAGACTTGTGATAACATCTGAAATAGAGTTGAGGGGGCTGTAAATACCTACCATTAATAGTTTCTAGTGTGGGCTCTGGCTTTTTGCCATGCATCAGTGAATGTGTAAGTGCACTCTTATATGTGGATCATGCACATGGGTGCTAAGCCCTTTGATGCAAAGGCTTTGAAACTCTTCTGTTGCTATTCAACATGTAAACAGCAGCTTCTGTAACATAGCAGGTAGGTAGATTCTCATCCAGAATAACTACCAATAGGACAAGAAGAAATGGCCTCAAGTTGCAGCATGGGTGTTTCAGGCTAGATATTATGAAAAATTCCTACAAGAGTGGTGAACCATTGGAACAGGCTGCCTGGGGAAGTGGTGGAGTCCCCATCCCTGGCAGTGTTCAAGAAGGGGGTAGATGAGGCATTTAGGGATGTGGTTTAGCAGGCATGGTTTTGAGAGGCTTATGGTTGTACTTGATCTTGAAGGTCTTTTTCAGCCATAATGATTCTGTGTAGAGGCAGATAGGGGAGAAACAAATGCATGTTACATGGATCACAGGAACCATTTTTGTATTTTGACTATTTTTTTTTTATTTCCATTGGTCCAGATCTCATTATATTCTGCCTGTATTGCCCTCAACCCAAGAGCAAAAGCAAGTGTTCCAGCTGGTGAAATTTAAGAATCCCTGCTGAAGATTAGTGTCTCTGCAGCTGAGATGGTTGCTTGCAAGATTTCAGAGATATTAATGTCACATGGAACTGTGATGATTTAGTTAGTACATCAGAACCTACTCTGAAAACTATTTCAAGTAGGGACCATGCAATTCAGTGAATAGAAGTCACTGTAATTCCTATTCAGTTTTACTCATGGCTAACAACTACCACTAGTGGGTCATCTTGACTGGTATGTGGGTGGATTGTTTTTGACTTTATTTTCTCTTTAAGTTATCTAGCTGTGTTAGCAGCCTCTGAAGCCATGTGGTTTTGTTTGTTTTTGAATGAGAAGTTTGCTCTTATCAGAGCTCTTATAATTGAAATGCTAACAACTTCTTAACCTTTTCCTTTGAAAATTCCTTTCAAATTAACTAGATTAACCCTTGGTGTTCTTCATTGTTAAGTATGTTTTTTGCTCACTGAATATCTATATTTTTATTTATTTTTGGTAATTGTCACTTATCAAACATCCTGTCATCTGTGGTCCACCAAGAGCAGTATCGGTGGCCCCCTGTGTGATTTCTGAGGCATTGCATGTAGAGCATATCCCAGAATGAAGAAAACGAAACTCCAAGTTCACCGAATGAAACAGCTTGCTGAAAGCTTGGCAGTGCAAATGATGTAATTGTTTGATGTATTTGCTTTAAAAGCAAAACAAGAAGACAAGTCTATTCTGCCCTTCAATAGCTTAAAGCTATGTGTGTTTGCTGTAGTCTGTTACTGCCTGGTAGCATGGCAGGACACAGCAAGGAGGAAAGGTGGTTCAGCACAGTAAATAATCTCATTGAGGCCGTTTGTATTGATTTGAAAGCGCCTGAGGCTTTTGCTCTGGTTTGGCATTTTTATGATGCTATTTATTTTACTTTATTTTTATTTTTGGCTCTTTCACTCTGTCCTTCTGCTTAGAAAATGACTAGATAAATAAAAAGGAGATGAACAGTCAAGATGGAAAGCAAGAGGAAGACAGAAGGTTATACAGATGTAAGCTTCTAGTCTTAAGTCCCTTTAACACATTAAAGGTATCCTCTGTTTAATTGCAAGGAAAATGCAGCTATGGAAAAGCATGACAGGTAAATTAGGCTGTTGCTTTATATGGAAACTTTCACTTTGGCGAATGCCAGGACTAGGCTGGCATGATGATTGTGGAGGCCTTGGCATACGGTGAGATGCTGTAGTCCTGAGGGCACTACTAGTACATCTTCAGTTCACTTGCATTAAAAAGTAGCTTCTTTTCATCTGGGCATTTGTTATGGTGGCTCACTACTATGAGAATGTGGAATTAGTGGTGTCTGCTGTTTGCCTTCTACATGGCAAATAATCCTTATTTTTGACCATATAGAAAGGGCTATCTGTTAATTGTAAGAGCTTCTTTGGGCCTTAGTCTTGCAGGTTAGTGCTTTCAGACATTATTTATATATGTGAAAGCTTTAGGGAACACAAATAACTATTCATCTTTGTTAACATCTTTGTTGTTGAAAAAGGTGATGGATTGGGGTATGAATTAGGAGGCACTTTCAAGGAAGAAGGCACGTGCATTCACCAGAGAGTGAAATGTGCTTTGGCTTGGCTTGTCCCACTTGGGACAGACTTATCCAAACACACACAAACGAGCACTCTGATAGGTTTGCATATCAGCATATCTCATCACCCGAAAGGCTACAAATGTGTGCCACGTGATTTGCTCCCTGCCATACGTAGCTGTCCAATTCCATATGTGCAAGAGCAATGGAGAGTAAAATTGAGCCGGTGGCTCCAATAAAGGAAGAGTGGTACAAAACGATTAACTGATGGAATAGCTGAGCTTGTCTGCCCTTAAAATGCCACAGACTGATAAATGGATGTTGTGCCAAGAGATGTGCTCACACAAGCCTTTTTGCTTCAACTTAGACTGACGGGATACAAATAAGTTAGCTACGCTTGCAGTGTGCACGGGCTGGGTAAAGCAAGTCTGTAATGCTCAGAGAAGCTGCTGTGCAAACGGTACGCAGCTGATGCACGGGCTGGGTAAAGCAAGTCTGTAAATGCTCAGAGAAGCTCCTGTGCAAACGGTACGCAGCTGATAAATTTCAGATCATATGCTCAGCCATCAATCGATATGTCTCATGTCTGAATCCTTGAAGAGAGTTCACTAGGCTTTAATTTCTAAGTTCCTTTTGTCTGTTGCAAATGACTTTCTTACATGAAAGTGCATGTCCAGTGCATAGCGAAACATCGTCAAGGATGATTAAATGAAGAGCTCAAGCACAGGAAAAATAAAAGAGTGCTGACTTCAAAAGGCAGATTTTGACAAAGATATTGAAATCATTGCTAGTCATTCAATGGTGGAGCAGAAAGAGGTTTGAAGTTGAAAATAAACAGAAGCTACAAGATGATTAATAATAAATTAGTATGGCAGCTAATGACTTCTGCCTCACCATTCATTCTACCTCATCGTTCCACCCCGATTTTATGCCTTTTTTAATTATTATTTTATTTTGTTTTATTTTTTAGGGTACAACAAAATAATCAAGTGTAGCCACCACTACTGGTCTTAATTATTTCATCTTATTCACCTGTGTTAGTGGTTTTTTTTTTTTAAATAAATAAATGCATGGAGATTATAGTGTCTTTGGGTAATTAAATCAATGCTTGGAAAGACCCCAATAGTCAAATTGCGTCACTTAAATGTTGTTAATATTTGGGTTTTATAAACAGTTATTTTTCATATTCATATATTTTGTCTTGAAAGCATTTATACTGGCAAGAGGTTAACATGTCACTTTATGTAGGTAAAGCATCATAGTTCTAGAAGAAATAACAAATGAGATATTTGGCTTATGCCCTGAAGCACAAGACTGACACATAAAAGAAATTTCATATTTTAAAAGAACCTTATTTAATGGTAGATTCTTTTAAACTATGTTTGTCCTGTACGTCTCTACTACTACTACTCTCTACTCTCTACTAATTCAGAGGCAATGTGTATGTGTATATATAAATGTAAACAGTTAATTTTTTAATCAAAAAAGCTAGTATTTCTGCCATGTGTTGCTCAACTTGATTGAAGGAAAGCATTGAGTTTTTTAATCAGCTTCAAGTATAAGGCAACTCTGTAGTTAGCATTCTTCGCTGAAGTACTGTTACATGCAATCTAAATATTTAATTACTAAGGAAGACAGGACTTATGACACAGGTAACTTCCTGCATTTCATTAGGAAATTAGGAGCATTTGTTGTGTTTCACTGTCTCAATTTGAGTTCTGTCTCAATATGAGTTCTATATGGGTTTGTTTTGTGGGTTTTTTTTTTCAGCTCTATAAACTTGCTCATACATTTCTTTCTTATGTGCTCTTTTTTTTGTTTGTTTTTGGTGATTAATTCTGTTTAGTTTTGCTAGTAGATAGATTTTAAGACTATGATTTGGTGCGTTGGAGCTTATCTCAGCTTAAGATGATGATTAAAAGCCTTTTTTTATGCAGTCTGACTTTGAAACCTTGAGTTACTTGATAGCATCCTTCTGATATTCACAAATGAGTAACAGGGCAGATAAAATTACAGTTGGAAACTCATTAAGGTAAATTGATGCCTCTTTCAGCCCTGAACATTGTTGTTAACTGTCTTTGGAAAGAAGTGGTGGTACTACCTAGAAAAGAGTGTGGGACTCTTTCATATCTGGGTTAAACAACAAAACAAACTCTGCTGAAATGGAAGAAAAAAAGGATTGCTCAGCAGACAAACCTGAAGATGACGTACATGTAAGTAGTTGACTTAATCCTTCTTGATTTCATATATCACTCGATGCTATCAGAGCAGTTATGATCTGCTAAGTCCAGTGTTTAACTTGAAATCCCAGTTAGCTTTGTTATAACTTTGTTAGTTTTATAACTAATTTTGATACTGTTGGTGTGTTTTTGTGTGTCTTCGGATTGCTCACAGCATATGTTTTTACATGCTTGAAATAATAGGAATGTCAGTGTGGCAATATGAAAGTGGTTTTTCTTGGTCTCGTGACACTATGCTTTTCCAATAAGAAATCAATTTCTAGGCAAGGAAGGCAATGTTAAGAAGTGCTCTGTTTTACTTCTTCTCGAGGAGATACAGATAGGGTTTACTGCCTGAGGATTAACGTGACAAAAAGTGATTGAATAATTTAGTGTATTTTGATACTCAAATTGCAAGCTAGAAATCAGTTCTAGATATACATACAGAACTGCTGCAGAAGAAAGCTGAATTAAGAATTGCCATCCATACTGATGGAACAACTAACTTGTCATTGTTCCCCTTGATATAAAATGTTTATGGTAAACTAACTTAAGAATACATTGGAAATCTAGAGCTTAACAATATGTGTTTTTTTGAATCAGAGAGACTTGCCCCACAAGCCGTGATCCATGAAGTTGTTTTCCCTTTTTAAAGGGAAAAAATATATAGTTACATTACAAAATCACAGAATGGTTGAAATTGGAAGGGACCTCTAAAGATCATCTAGTCCAACCCCGCTGCTCAAACAGGAACATCTAGAGCACATTGCCCAGGATGGCATTCAAAACCTCCTGGATATCTCCCAAAAAAGGAGGCCCCACAACCTCTCTGGTGTGAAGATGTGATGGATATTGACGTGATGGAGATATTGACTGCTCTGCTTGGATATGTACATTCCAGGAATATCAGTCCTGAGCAGCTTTTATTGATCCTTGAAAAGGACAGTCTATGTCTAATTTTTAAGAAGATCTTGATAAAAGTAGCAAGAGTTCCTACTAAGTACATAAAGAGGCTCCTTTGTTATTGTTTTTTAGGGACCTCTAAAGATCATCTAGTCCCCGCTGCTCAAACAGGAACACCTAGAGCACATTGCCCAGGATGCTATTCAAAACCCTCCTGGATATCTTTCATTCAAAACCCTCCTGGATATCTCCCAAAAAAGGAGGCCCCACAGCCTCTCTGGCATGAAGATGCGATGGAGATATTGACTGCTCTGCTTGCATATGTACATTCCAGGAATATCAGTCCTGAGCGGCTTTCATTGATCCTTGAAAAGGACAGTCTATATCTAATTTTTAAGAAGATCATGATAAAAGTATCAGGAGTTCCTACTAAGTACATAAAGTGACTCCTTTGTTATTATTTTTTTTAGTCATCTTTGAATAGCTTCAGCTCAAATGTCGAAGAGATTGCTTTTTGACTACTGGTTTGGCAAGTGGTATGTGTGACTCCTTGCTAGATTATATTATCAAGCTGCTACTGGAAAAGCTACTCCTCTGCAATGTTTTGTCTGCCTCAACCACAGGCAATGCAAGGCAGTTGAAGGTTGCCTGCCCTTTTGACTAAGAGGACTAACGTACTTCATGGTGATGAGGGATGCACATGGATGTCAGTGCTCATTCAAATGGTTAATACTGGTTAGCAGTTGATCTATTGTCTAAGAGTACATTGTATGCTTCTGTTCCTGTGCAATAACCCCTAGGGATTGTTTCTGTATGATGTCTGCTGTGTTTCTGGAAGGACAGGATCCTGCTTCTTGACTGGAATTTCACATAACTTATTAGCTATTATTAAGGGAGCTGTGGTTTGTGTGGTTACAAACGAATGTATGCGGGAATCTGCTGGTCACCCAGGTGCTGCTTGAAATTACTGCTTGCATGTTTGATATTGCTTGATGTCTTTCACCTTGTTTTAGGTATCCAACATCTCAGTCCAAGTGGTAACTGGAGAAGATAGATTGGCAAAGAGGATTCTTGCAAGGAAAAAACATGGCAAATTGAAATTGAACAAAGAAAAGAAGACAATGTGGAATTTTCAAAACAAAATCATTCTTTTTACCATTGTTCTATTCATTTTAGGTGTTATCACCTGGACTTTACTGTGGCTCTTTATTGGTGAGTTCCTGAAAGCTCAAGCCAATCACTGTCCCCAACAGCACTCTCAGTTATTTTTAGGCTTTCACTTTCCTGAAGGCTTTTTCTAAGATAAACATACATGTTATTTCAGTAAGACCTGGAGGACTTTTGACTGTCTTTGTTAGGACTTGTATTAGAAGATTGAATTAACAAGCAATTACAAAAGCAGGCACAGCTGTTCTCCAGAAAAGCTGTTCTCCTCTTCAGGCCCCGAGGTCAATGTTGTATAAAATTTCTTGAGGATACTCTAGAAGCTCGATATTGCTATTGCCTTTACTGCTTCATTTGTACAGTGGTGTTTTTTCTTTTGTGGAGAGTTGCAAGTGCTCAATAATCTTCCTAGTATGGTGCTTATCTAGAACAGTTTGGTTGTGAAAATACAGTGTTGGTTGAGTAAAGTCCTCTTCACTGTAAAACTGAATAGGTCAGTTTGGTTTGGAATTAAGTCAGTAAAAGCACTTTATTGATATTTTTTTAAAAAAAAGGTAATTATTATTAATTAAAAACAAACATTGTGTTCTTTGTTTCTTGCAGTTCAGGCAGAAAACAAAGATGCATTGTATTTTGTTGGACTGTTTCGTGTTGCCAACATAGAATTTCTTCCAGAATACAGGCAGAAGGAGTCAAAAGAATTTCTCTCCATGGCACAGAATGTGCAGCAAGTGGTAAGATGCAAGGCCTGCCCAGCTAGCAAAATATTCAGACTTGTGAACAGGAGGTGCCGCTTTTGCATGGCATTGAGGAGAAGCCTTGTAGCGTGCCTTGTTGTGGGATAAGATGCCTTTGCCTCCCTAGAAGACTGCCCACAAAGAGTGGGTACCTGGGAGCAGGAAAGGACTAGCTGCTTTTAGCCTGTTAATAACAAACTAAATTCGGGAAAGGTCTGTTTGGTGGACTTTTATATATATATGTATATACACACACACACACCATGAGTATATATATATTTGCACCCCTTTTTCTCTCCCCTTACTTTCAGAGTCTGTGACTAGAACCCTATAAAAGCCCTTCAAAACCTAACTGATACTTTTGAAACTTCAAACTGTTGTATTTTCTTGCATTCAAACTGGTATCTGTTGCCAGTCAGCAACAGCATCTTGCCTTACAGTATCTATAATTACTCTAGAGTTCTTGAACATGTTTACGTTTATATCTAATGCCAGATGATCTCAAGGCCTTTACTCTTTCCAAACACCAATCAGTCATAGCAAAAATAGTACTCCCTTGTAGATTGCTAAGGTTGCTTTACACAGGGAAGCAAGAGGAGGTTAAAACTCTCTCTTGGTTAAAAACAAATTTGACTTTAAAGGCATTTGGTGTGGGTAATAAAAATGAGTAATTTTTGGAAATACAGTACTATCTACATTATAGCAATAGTGACAAAACTATCTAACAAAAATAGGTGGATCAGATGCAATCAAGAGATTTTTGAAATATTTTTTCAGTTTTGCTGATTTATAATTTGAGTGCATGCTTTTTTTTCCAGCTTTATCTTAATAAGAGCAATGAATATCTTTTCCCCTAAAAGAATTGATACGGAAGTGGGCAGTCTAGGCTTCCTACCGTATTGAGCTTTTAGTGATTTCAGGAAGGGGCACAACAGTGTATGAAGTGCCTTCCTATACTCCGTAACAGCATCCCAAGCTCCCTGTTTTGCAGGGGAGGAGCTCTAACTGGTTGTGATCTCTCTGCCTATGTCTTGCTCTTGCCTTAGAGCATCTTGTGGTTGTGGCATGTAAGAGAGAGAGCGTGCACGAGCGTGCTAACAGGTAGGAATTGCCTGCACTCCCACTGCCAACATCCCTTACGTAACTTGGATATGCCTTTCTGCCTGTAATCTTTGCCTAAATTCTCCAACAGCGATTTTTGTATCACTGAGCCTATGCTTCTCAGTGACTTGACTGCTGCCCAAAATCACTAGTCTGGTTGGTTTGTTTGTTTCTTTCCTTGCTCTTCTGCTCGTGGCTTCTCAAATGATAGCAGAAGTGGAAGATCCTCTTGATATAGCCTCCTTTAATTGTCACAGTGACATGTGAAATCCCTTGCAGCCTAATGTGGAGAAACTCTCGGGTGCACCCCTTTTATCTGGGCCTTCAAAATAATTGTTTGGATTTCCGGTGCCAAACACTAGAAACTTCGGATTAACCTTAATGTGATTCTTATTGTGACCTTTACGGCCTGTGCTTCAAAATAATATGTTACGCTCAGTTTGGCATTGATTTTAGCTATTAAGCAGCAGGATGGAGGTCGGAACAGCTTGAGTTACATGCCACCTTGTGGCTTTAGCAGTGTGCTGCTTTGCATATGGGAAATGAAGCTTATCTTCGGGCTTTGGAACTGTTGGAATCAGGAGCAGGCTTTCCTCAAAGGCAGTCCTATGTCATGAAAGGCAGAATATTTTTCTTCTCCCCTTACTTAACACTGTTAGTAAGAAATGTGTTAATGCTGAGCTATCAGTGAAGAAAATGGGCACAAACTGAAGCAAAATACAAGAAATTTCATTTGCACATAGGAAAAGGAACACTGCTACTGTGGGGGTGGTCAAACACTGGCACAAGTCACCCAGAGGGATTGTGAAGTCTGCATCCTTGGAGACATTCAAAACCCACCGGGACACAGTCCTGGATAATCTGCTCTATTTGACCTTGCTCTGAATGTGGTGGGAGGGGGGCTAGATACTTCCAGAGGTTCCTTCCCACCTCAATGACTCTGTCGTTCTGCAAATACAATCTGCTGTATACCTTTAGCTGCATCCTTACCACAGCTGGGAAACACACCCAATATTACATGCTTGCTTCCCTGAAGAATGGCCATAAAGTTTCAGCATCGGGAAAGAGAAGCTCTGCGTGTGTGAAATTTCCTGGGCAAAGGATGTGCATGCTTTTCAAAGTCACTTATTTGTGAGAAATATTGCCGTAAATGTCAGTTGGTTTTGTGTGATTGTCTGATACTTTCTCTTTCAGGTGAACTTGGTTTACACGACCTCTGCTTTCTCCAAATTTTATAAGCAGTCCACTGTTTCAGAAGTCAGGTAAAACTGTGGTTAATGTATTGGCACTTTTGCTGACTTCTATATATAATGCAATGGTTGTTGTGATTTAATCCCTTTGGTATGCACTTGCGATGGCAAAATCCACTTATTAACTGTACCAATTTATTTCACACTAGTAATGGCAAACTTAAGTCATATGGTTTAAGGTAAAATGAAATAATGTCCCCTAAAGAGTTAGTTTTGTGATGTTATGACTGCTAGATCATCAATACACAGAAGTTTGGCCTCTGTTAGAGCAAAATTCTGTATGAGAGTTGTGTGTATTTTATAAATAATATATATTGATATAAAACTACTTTGTACTGAGAGAGCTCTCTGCATAGTAGAAGGAAAAATATGTATACTCCTTAAAACTAGAGTAAGTTTACAATTAATGTCAGAGGTTTTGTTATGGTTGAATCCTCTTAAAATGGTTTTAGAATTGAGTTTCCAGGATACACTGTATTTAAAGACAGGAGTTAGGAGCCCCCGGGAAATTATTCTAGCAGAGATTCCTAATCAGAGATCTAGGCTTTTTTAGAATAATAATAAAAAATGTTCAGTGTGTGAAAACAACACGGCAAGATGAAAAATGAGCCATAGTCTTCTAAATTTCTACTTCAGAAGATTATGTTAGAGTTCTCTCTTGATAAAAACCTTTACGTTGACAGCAAGCTATTGAACCCCTTTATTTCAGTAACAACAACAACGGAGGCCTTCTTATCCACTTCTGGATCGTGTTTGTAGTACCACAGGCGAAAGGCCAGGTGCTGTGTGAGGACTGCGTGGCTGCCATCTTAAAGGACTCCATTCAGACAAGTGTCATCAACCGGACCTCAGTGGGAAGTCTTCAGGGCCTTGCAGTTGACATGGACTCCATTGTACTAAGTGGTTAGTATTAAGACATACCTGTGTTCTTCAGGAAATGCTTTGCTAGTCAGACAGGTTTATCCATGAGTAACAGTTTCCATGAATATACCAAAATTTATATTGTGTGTATCTAGTATTTTTTTTTAATAATAAAACCAAGAAAAATTTGGAGTCAAGGTGCAAAGTGTCCCAGTTGCAAAGAAATCAGCAAGGTAGTATTCAGGTACCTGGTAAACGCACTTAGTTACAAAATCATGCTAGACTTTCAGCTCTCTGAACAAGGTCACAACAAGATCCTTGCAAGTGAGTGTCTAACTGAAAGCTGAAAAAGACTTTGTGTCCACGGAAATAAACCCCCTTGCTCACTTGCGAGTGCTTGACTTGCTCACTCGCGCTCACTTATGTGAGCCATGGCGCTCACTTGGCCCTCTCACTTGCATGCACCTGCCCTGCTCACTTGCCTTGCTCACTTGCGTGTGCTTGCTTGGCCCACTTGCTCGCATGCACTTGGCCTGCCTGTTCACTTGGTCTTGCATGGGCACACTTGGCCCATTCTCTTGCATGCACTTTTGTGTGCTTGCACATGCTTGGCCTGCTCCCTTGGGCGCCCTTGCTCTTACCTAGGCATATTTGGACTCGCTTGGCCTATGGCCTTGCACTCCCTTTGGGCCTGCTAGGCACACTCACTCTGGCATGCTTTGTTGCGCTTGTGCTCGTTTGCATTCCCTTGGCCTGCTCACGTGCACACACTTAGGCATGCTTGGCCCACATGCTTGCATGTGCTTTGGCCTGCACTCTTGGCCTGCTCACTTGCATCTGCGAGCACTTGCATGCTCTCTAAGTCACCTGCTGTCCTTCTCAAGTGAATGTGCTCAACCTGCATGCTGTCTCTTTTTGCCTCTGGCATTTCTTGCCTGAGATTCTGACATTAGCTACGCCCACAATTTGCAGATTTTTGCAGGTCTTTGGCAGCCTTCCTCTTTGAGACAGATGTTCTGTTTAAAATTTCATTTAAGCATCTGTGATTGAATTAAACTCCAGATTCTGGATATTGTGCAAATTAGAAGACTTACAGAACTCTCTTTTTTCTATGCAGCTGGTCTTCGATCAGATTATTGGTCAACAACGGGAACAGGTAATTCGCCACTCTTGGAAGATTCCTGGCAGAGGAGAGAGAGAAAAGGAAGCTGTTAGTTCAGCTCTTTCGCTTATAGTACTCAGTGTTAATATAAGAGGCTTAAATTCAGCCTTAGAATTTATGCCCTGACCAGGGGTGCCTGCTTTTGTTGACTGCAAGGTTGCAAGTGTACTTGGTAATTAAACCAAGTCAGCCCTTTGTTTGCAGTTCCTTCTGTTAAACGGAAGGAAAGAAACCACTTCTAACTTGGATAGTTTTGCATTTGGAGTTTCAGTCCATTTATTGACATTTACCCTCATCAAGAGAAATGATTATGTCTGTCTTTTTTTCCTCCTCACTTTCTCCAAGAAGACAATTAATTTACATAACAGAAGTTAGTCTAAAGCGTTGATTTTTGCCAGGTTTATGAGAAATACCATTCAGATGGTCTCTTGTTGCACCATTGCTACTGGGGTTCTTTGGCGGAGTGCAGGGAGACTTTACAAGCCAGGACATACACACAAACAAAATTACATTGATTAATACACAGGTGCAAATCACCTTTGATGCAGAAACCTGATGAGTCTCTGCTGGCCTAGCAGTTGTCAATCGGGTAGGGATGAGATGACTTCCCTTGCTCTTGAGAACAGGCTTACTCTGCATCTGGCGAAATTGATCTCTTTTAATTCTACCATTTTTTAAAGGGCTTTATACCTTTTCATGTCTATGTTTTTTCTTTTGTGAGACACTATTTTTTATTATTTCAACAATTAAGTTTCTGTCTGTTCTCCGCCTCTGTTGTCTTGCTTGCCTGTAGCTTACATACGCTCTCAGAGCTCAACAACTGCTTTTCTCAGCACACCCAACTTGAGGTCTCATAGCTGTGCTGTCCACAGATGGACTTTGGGTCACAGACTCTGTGCCGTGGGTTACCATGCCTAGATTGATATCAGCCCATAATTTCTCAAAATGAAACTCAACTTTGCTAAAACAATCATTTATTCAAAATCTTTATCGAATTTAACTGCGAAGCATAAGACTTATTAGCCTTTGTGTCATCTCTTCACAGGAATTCTAATTATATAAAAGAACTGTGTGCATTGGTGATTACTTGCAGAGTTATTTTGTCTAGTTCCAGTTATTTCAGTCTTTCAGAGACTTACTGTGTAGTTGAGTGCACTTGGACTGCTCTCTAGAAGCAGCATACTATAGGTATGCAACAGAGCTGCAGGGGAACGCTGACAGATTTTTTGAAGGATGGAAAGCCTTATGTTGGTGCTGTCTTGGGCTGGGCTCCCTTCAGTGCCTCTGCTTCAGGCTACAGGACAAGATGCAGAGATCCAAGTGCTAAGACAGCAGCATACACAGAAGGTGCACCCTGCTACTCAGACCAGTGGAGGTACTTTGGCACAAAGACTTGTCTAGTTGACGTGTCCAGACACAGCACTGGCATCCAGATTGATTGAGAGATGGTTTAGAAGAGGGACTTGTGCTGCTTCAGCTGACACTAGTGACTTGCATTGCCCTGGTGCGTGGCTACGCAGGACTGGTTTGGGTAAAGTCTGTTGCAGCTCTGGTTTCAAACTGGTAAGCTTGCAATGCCTCCAGTTCCAGAGCTGACTCTTAATTTTCTGCAGTGCTATGCTCCTCTCTAGTAGTGAGCAAGTCTCATTATTAAGTATTTAGGAAAAATTGTCATAGTCACTTAACCCTAAAGAGCTCCTTTACAAGCAAGACTGATTTTTAAGGGTGAGTAAATAAGCACAGTTAACTATTATGAGAAGAATGTTATTGGGAAGAGATAAGAGAAGAGGGAAGAACAATGGCTTAATGGCTCAACTAAAGCTTTAAATAGCCCTAACTGTAAGTCACTTGAATGGTATGTGACCCTTACAAATTGTTCAAAAACATTCATATCATTAGTTTCAAGACTGTAAATTAGAAGTGGAAGTCAGACAAAGCCCACCACTTCCTGTCTTGACTTGCTGCTCGTAACAAGGCCCGAATTTAATTGAGTCAACGGACAGGGAACTTCTCTAGGGCTCTAATTGATGTTCCATGATTGTAGCTATTTTGGATACTTTCTTTTTAATTGGCAGAGATTCATGCAAATATTTAGGTCTTATTCTCCCTAGTTTGCATTTTTGTTCCTACTTGCCTTTCAAAAAGCTATATTGAGAATTTGGGGTATGACCAAACAGAAAAATCCCTAAGCTTTTTGCTGAATGGAAACTGCAATACTGAATTGAAGACCTCAGAATATCTGACTTGGAAAGCCATAATGGTTTCAACTTATTTGGAAAGTTGGATGCAAGTAGGGTAATTTTCTCATCATACTGGTCTAAATTATGATAAAAAATTATAATTTAAAAATAAAATTAAACTGCATTTTTAAATTATTCTAGATTATATGTGTATGGGGATTTTGTTTGGTTTTGTTTTTAATAAGCATTCTAATATCTGTAGGGAGAACAGCTGATTTCTGCCCTGACAGTAGATGAACATTTCCCAGGGAACAATTGTTTGTTTTAAGACATTTATCCTTCAGGCTCCACAGAGCTTTACGCATTGCAAATAACTGTTCCATAAAATGGCAGCGTTTTAGCGCAAACATCCCTGCAACTGTTTGCAGTACTGTCTCTTAGGGTTTTCTCTTTTTTTTTTTCTTTTTTTTTTTGATTTCATGTGGATTTTGCAGTTTCAAAGCAGGTGTTCAGTGCTGAAAATGTGACATTTCCACAGGAACAAACTGTATGTATGATCTGTATGCTGATCATCTACATGAGCGTCTTCCTCTGGATGCCCCTGCTACTTCTGAGGGAGCAATCTGCTATTTTAAGCTCATCGCATTAGTGGGCCATCTTATTCGTCTTTCCATCGTGTCCCTTCAGATTGAAGCAGATAACTGCATCACTGACTCGCTAACCATTTATGACTCTCTGATGCCAATCAAACATAAGATACTGTATCGGTGAGTATAAACTAGATACTATGCTAGTGACTATAAACTTTCCTTGGGAATTCATTGACTCTCTCTCTGTATAGAAAGAGAGGCTATATATATATATGTGTGTGTGTGTGTGTGTGTGTGTGTATATTTTTTTTTCCTGAAAACTTGCTATCTGCTTTTGGGGGATTTTGCTTTGTTTAAAACACTCTGATTTTCATCTACTATACAGATAATACCCGCAAGATACTGTTTTTTTCTTACATAAGTAGAAAAATTAATCTTGCTCATAAAAGGAATAGCTAAATATTCTTCAGATTCTTTATTCTACAAATAGAATACATTTTCGCCTAGATACAGAAATATGAGAAGTTCACACATTACTGGACGGAATTTTCTGTTTCTTGTCGGGAAACAGATGTTGACTAAAAGAAAATATCAACATTTCCTCCCTTGAAGAAAGTTTTCTTCTGTATATTCTGTATAAAGCTTGATTCTCTTCATATGACTGAAGTCATATGAACTAAGTCACCTGTGGGCTTTTTTTTTTTTTTTTTTTGGCTTTTTCTATTTGAGCTGTATAGAGTGATAACAAAATGCAGAGCAGAGGCTCTGATGGCTTGAGGGAATGTAGGGCCTACTTTTCTTTTAGGGACCATCATTCTAGTCTGGGGCTTTTTGTCTGAAATTGCTAGTAGATAATTTAATCGGGCCCTGTCAGAGTATAGGGAGGAGATGCCACCTCCACTAAGTGAACAAAACACTTAGTGTTTCAACCCCTGAAATCATTTCTCGTGGCTTCTGAATGTGTGAAAGAGCCCAGCAAGAGCCCTGGCTTTTTAGTACTCTGACTGCTGCCCTCCAGAGATCTGAATCACTTGCTGACTTGTCCATGCAACAGTAAATGGCCTTCACTTGGTGGCAGTGGTCTAAGGAGTTATGTGAAGCAATGCACAAAAAAGTAGCATTTTTATGAGATTTGTTGATGTCACTCAGGTTCTGTGCTTATGACTTGAACAGTATCTTACCTGAACTCCTGGTTCCCAGCTAAATCTATTGGTCTAATAAAGTCAATTCTTTCTCCCTACAAACCTCTCTTTTGCTAATGGCTTCCTTAATTTTCACTGAGTGAAGTATAAAAGTCTAAATCAGTATTATTTCCTGGAGTTGACCAGCCTCTATTTTTCATGTTTATATATATATATATACATATATATATATATATATTCCTTCTTGCAAGAAGTGACTGGGCAGTACATGGTTTCTAACTGGTATTCTGACAGGTTCTTCTGTGTTGAAGTGCATGGCCTTTATTTTGTTGAGGCAGGAGGGAGACTAGGCTTTGGAGTAGGTGAGGAAAATTTACTGGAAAATTTGCATACAGAGTAAATGTTACGTGATTTTATTACAGATTGCTTATGAACATACTCTAATTTCTTTCCTTCTCAGAGCTTGTGAACCAGTGGATACATTGGTGTCACTCGTGTCCACAAATAATCTCATGTTGATAATATTTAAGGCAGCCCAAATAAAGGAACAAAAGGAATTCCGTGGATATTTTGAAGTCATTACACAAGAAAGTAGGTTTTTAGTTTCTGAGTTTGGACATACATTTACTATGTTATTTTTACTTGAGACCCACAAGTGTCTATCCTGTTCTTGAGTCTGGATAAATGACTCCCTGCAGATCTGTGTTTCTGTTTCCTCACCGTGATCTCTCCATCTTCTGTCAATTACTAAGTAATTGTCTCGAGTTACTTCAGCTGTTCAAATTAGCTGCCCTTATGTGAAGTATTAAGATAGCATGTTAAAACCAGCACTGACTGACTTAGCTTGTTCAGGACTCCTGTGTGCCTGTAGATGGAGTAGTTATATCAGGCATTGAACTGTCCATTTTTTTTTGTTTGTTTGTTTGTTTTCTCCTCCTCTCCTAGTTTGGGACTTTTAGTGATAATATTAAAGGTGGAAATTTCAAAAGACAAAGCTTTAATCACTCTGTTTTTTATTGGTCTCTGTCTCTTTATTAATACAGAGGAATTGACTATGCTTGTGCACTTGATACTGCTTTAAGATTTCGGTTGATCGTGATCTACAGATATCACCCAGGACATCAGACAGGTGGCACAAAGGCAGAGAGTACAGCCTAGTCCAATGCCAGGAAATTCAAGCTACTCAGAAGATGCTGAATAATTTTGATTTTTTTTCTAAATCAATTGGATATTAAAAAAAAAAGGAAGTTTTGCCTTTCAGGGAGCTGATTCCATTAGTACAGTGTCCATTTCAGTCTTAACTGGCTACACTAGATTCCCTCAGGGACTGCTGCACATTGATGCCTTGATGTACAATACTGTTTGCTTGAGACTTGCTTGCAGAACTGCCTTTAGAGGAATAACTGACATAAACCTTTGCAATGTTTTCTTCCCGTTCCTGGAGAGACAAAATAAAAGTCAACAGCCCAATAAAGGACTGCATCTAAAGTAGGAGGAGACATTTTATGATTCCCAAGCTCTTTGAGCTGAAACGTGAGGCTGCAGGCAGTCATTTCTTACAGTCTTAATGTACCTAGTAGATAACGTGAACTGATGAGCTTCCTGTTTTGTGGGCGATGGATTCAACAGATTACTTCAGCAAGCATTCATAGGTTTTTACATCTCTTCCTTGTCTGTATGCATCATTATTTCTCTCTCTCATTTTTATATTTTTTTATTTTTTATTTTATTTATTTATTTATTTATTGTCTTCCACAGAAATAACATTACTGGAAATATGTTAAGGTTTACCAGCTCTGTATCTCTCCCTCTTTTTATTTTTTTCTTTTTCCCTCTCCTCTCTAGAGTGTGGGAAAACAATAGTGACAAAAGAGAAAACTGGCTATGAAGGACGGATCATGAGTCCATATTATCCAAGTTACTATCCTCCAAAATGTATGTGTGTGTGGAGCTTCCAGGTAAGCATGTGTGCTCTCTCTCCATCAGCACTATTTCCTGTTTTGGGCATAGAGAGCCCTGAAGTGTAGCAAAAAGACTGTGTAGAGTGTAATTTGGGCGCTCATAGATGTACTTTATCAAAATGAGACAGCTGAATAGATGATTTCTGTGTTGTTGTTGTTGTTGTTGTTTTCTTTTTTGTATGTTTGTGGAGGCATGGGGGCTTTTTTCTGTGCCCTTATTTTCAAAAAAGAAAAACCTTTATCCTCTAACTTAGTAGTGCTGCTGCTTCTCCATGAGCCCATATCAGCCTCTTTTGTTATGCTTAATAAGTTGAGCTCTCTCTTCTGAGATGGGCTGCTCGCTTCACTGTTTTTAATTGGTCTCTTTTATTTTCCTCCATCATTTCAGGTACTTTTCTGCATGTGAACAACCAAAAGCCTTCAAATGTTTAAGATAGTCTTGTCATGTGTTGTGTGATTTCTGTAAAACATTGCAACTCTACCCTGAATAGGATGATACCTTACAGCTTGTTATGAACAAAATCTATTAATGCATCTTCTTTTCTAGCAAGATTTCTTCCCGAAGCAACAAACAAAAAAGATTTCACAAGTTCTTAGGAAATTTTCTGGTACCTTGGTGGCAACACAGGGTTTTCCTCCGCAAAAAGCATGACACAGGATACAATGTAGTCTATTCTTTATATACATATCTGCTTTATTACTCATCTCGAGTTGAAGTAATGGTTTCCCACATGGAATCACACAGAGCAAAGTAGAGTTGAGCTAGCCAAGACCGAAAGTCTCTTCCTCCTCTAGAAAACTAGGGCATGTGCTTTTTGCTGAACTTTGAATCTTCAATTCATACTGGCCTTCTGATGCAGAGGTTTATTGACACTTAGCATGGGCAACTCCCTTGGATTACTTCTCAAAATCATTTTATTTCCCAGCAGTTTAATGTTGAAACTTCCCTTGTTTCCCAAGTTATATATTGTCTGTAAGAGAGAGGAGAAAAACCTCCATTTCTAAATTCTTGTTCTGATTCAGCCCTTCTTTTTTACATGACAAGGTTCCCTTAAAAAGATTCTGTTCCTTTTCAAAAAGGAACTTCTATTAATTTTCTACCCTCATGGTATGACCACACTTAATTTATAAAATGCTAAAGAATCCTTGGCTGAGCAGGTACTAGCAGAAGACTACAATATTGTGGCAGAAATGACTCCTAGTATTTCAAAGGTGACACTCGTGTTCGATACAGTGCCTAACTCAACCAGCCACTGGGGTTGCCTTTCCCTGTGCAGCTTAAGTTGGATGTGTTTGAGTGCTTTGACCTCAATACAAAAACTGCCTTCTGTCTATAGCCAGGGGCATTTTGGAGATGAAAGGACTGTTTGCTTGAGCGGGAGAAAGCCTGCAGGTGGTATTGGGCTTTGCCAACCTTTGCTTTTACTGGGCACTGAATAGCTGGCAGGTGTCTCAGGTGCTGGCTGTTGAGCTGGGGAGGTCGGCATAGCTTTCCTAGCTTGGCACTGATAAGCCCTGTAATTGCTGTATGTACAAAAGGAAAAGGGAGAGCACTTCTTTTTCTTGTTCACAACAGACTCCACAAAAGAGCCTTGGTATAGCACTGAAGTTTCATAACTATACCATAAGTGAGAAGAATATCAAAGGCTGTGAGCGAGGATGGTGGAAAATTAATGTCTATAGCCAGGGGCATTTTGGAGATGAAAGGACTGTTTGCTTGAGTGGGAGAATGCCTGCAGGTGGTGGTGGACTTTGCCAACCTTTGCTTTTACTGGGCACTGAATAGCTGGCAGGTGTCTCAGGTGCTGGCTGTTGAGCTGGGGAGGTCGGCATAGCTTTCCTAGCTTGGCATTGATAAACCCTGTAATTGCTGTATCTACAAAAGGAAAAGGGAGAGCACTTCTATTCTTTTTCTTGTTCACAACAGACTCCACAAAAGAGCCTTGGTATAGCACTGAAGTTTCATAACTATACCATAAGTGAGAAGAATATCAAAGGCTGTGAGCGCGGATGGTGGAAAATTAACGAGCACATGTAAGTACTTCTGCATGGTTTATCCAACTAACATTACCAGAATCAACTTTCCCATAACTGCAGCAGGTGGCTCACAGAGGTTCCACAAAACCAGAGATACTTCACTGGTGTCTATGACCATTCCTCTTCCACTTTGGCAGATGAGTAATTGATTCTTTGTAAAACACACACAGACTTTCTAAGGAAAAGTACTGCAGAGCTGGAATAAGGGCTGTCTGTGCTCTCTGGAGAGGCCAATATAGAAAGAGCAGGCGAAGGGGGATGTCCTGTGATCTTTAAGCTCATTTTGGGTTTCCTACCAAGTCTGTAGAACTCTTTCAAGTGTAACTTAATTCCATGATTGTTCACAGGGGCAGTGAACCTAAATAACTTCTCTGTGAAAGGCACTGCACTGTAATTACCGGGAAGAGAACAGTAGCTGCTTTGGCAGCTCCTGGCTCTTGAAAGGGAGCCCACACAGAGCACACTGCTGCTTAAGAGTCTTTATTAAAATTTGTTGATACTGCTGGTCTCTCGCACACAATTTCCACAAGTGTTTAAATGCTCTTTCAGTTACTGGATGCTGAGGCAAGGCAAGACTTCGGGTATTTTTATTTCAGTGGAAACTTCAGTAATATCAGACATTTTTTACTGAGCAAATGAGTCAGACCTCTAAAAATGTAATTGAAAGAGTAAATATTTTTAAAATTCTTTTTCTATTTTTTAACACCATATAGCGCCTTAGTATAGAGAATATTCACATTCTCTGTAGCTATGAGCATTGTGCCTTAGTGGGGATTGTTTGCTGGACTAGATGGGCACATGAGAAAACCAATCAAAACGGACACTATAGGGTGGTTTGGGGTGATTGTTTTTCATTGATATGGCACAAGGGTGAAGATTTGTGATGCTGGAGGACTCCTGAGAGAGGAGTCAAATAGAGAAATAATCTGAAAATGAAGTTGGTAATGGGTTTATATTATAGGGATTCTATCTATGAAAGACCTGCTTTTAAATAATGCTAGCAATTAATTTTTTCACAGAAGACAGTGTCGGGGTCATCCCTTACAAATGCATTCAGTGGGTTATTTATGAAGTACTGCAAATTAGCATATGTTCCTGACTTCTGCAGCACGTTGCCAATAAGTAGCCCAAGTCAAATTTTCCTTTGAAAGTGTCTTTTTTTCCCCACTGAAGATGAGGCTTTTGAATGTTACATTATCTTCTGTTCTGTGCCTACTTGGAAGGAAAATATGCTTCAAAGCATGGAACGCTATGTTATATTTTTTCCTTGTCACATTTCCAGTGGACTTTTAAACATTCCTCTATCAAGTTAGGGAAGTTGCTGTCGATGAACTGATTTTGCTGAAACTCTTGTAGATTGAGATATTGAGGAGTCTCTGTGAGCAGATCTTTACAGATTTGTGAACAAAGAGGTTGTCGGTATTTTTTTCTTTAAATCTTTTATATATTTTTTTTTCTTGTGATGGTCCTTTTGCTGTGTCACAAGATGCATACTCCCTCTCTAGCACTGGTGCAGGGCTGCAGATGGAGCCTTGCAACCTCCGGTTGTCCTGGATCTGGACAAATGGGCGGTAAAACACCAGTAGAGGGCTCCCAAGGATCTGTCTGACAAATCCTTTAAGTGTGTAACACTTCTCATTCTACAGCAGATAGCTTCTCTTGTGTAGCTGTCTTGGCTCCTTCACAGATGGGCAGGAGCTTCCTCTGCTCCTGGTGTGCAGAGATTATTTTTTGAGAGAAGCGGTCAGTGCAGTCTGCAATTCCTTTAAATGGTGCCAAGATTTGTTGCAGGGAAATTGTGTCAAAGTCATTGAGAGAAGGAAAA